CAGATCAAGAAATCTGATAACTAAGGCAGCCTAGTCGGCAAGAAAAATCTATAGAAAACCAAAAGCTTATCAAACATGTTCCTTTTGATTATAGTTACTATAATGTAATTTTTTTAAACTCTAACTTTCCATTATATGTGGGTCATCATAGTGATTAAAAGGAAAATATTAGAAATAATTTTAATAGCCATTATTTACTATAAAACTTGGCCCCAGTGACTCAATCCATATTTGCAAACTATTAAAACAGAGATATGAACTGAATCCTCAGAAAACATTATTTGAAATGAAGTTGCAGGGCTAACTTACTAAACTATACTAAAATGGGCTTTGAGTTATCACATAAGGAAACTGGTATCACACAGTAGACACGGTCTACTGTGAGCAGTAACATTAAACAGAAAGTCATATTTTATTGCATCCATGTAATAAATATTATTGGTGGGACACTAGAGATTGACCAGAAGTTAAGAGAGAATTGACTGCTTTTGCAGAGGACCCAGGTTCAATCCCCAGCAACCAAATGGTGCCTCATAGTTGCCTGCAACTACAATACTAAAAGTTCTGATGCTGTCCTACTCTGTCCTTTTCAGGATTCCGTATCCTAATGCTGCATACAAACTTATACAAACTTACCCAAGCACATACACATACACTTAAGATAACAAACAAACAAACATTTAAATACTGTTGTTACCTTGAAAACACCTTTGGTTCAATTGTTTTGTTGAGTATTATATAACTTGATAGACTGATAATTGGTCCTCACTCTGTCTTTGAATTAGTAGGGCAGGTGAACACTGTACCCAAGGTAATAATAATATAGCTGATTGCAGTTCACAAAAGCTAGAAAGATTTTACTCAACTTTTAAATGTTAAATGCATTCCTTGACACTCTCGTATATGTATGTTATGTATTCTGCTTGCAGTCACCTATACGCTCTCTTATTCCTCCTCCCACATTCAGCAACACCATCCTTACAATTTCCCCCAGATTTCATATAATATTGCTTCGTTTCAAGACTTTTGTGGCCGGGCGGTGGTGGCGCACGCCTTTAATCCCAGCACTTGGGAGGCAGAGCCAGGCGGATCTCTGTGAGTTCCAGACCAGCCTGGTCTACAAGAGCTAGTTCCAGTACAGGCTCCAAAACCACAGAGAAACCCTGTCTCGAAAAAGTAAAAACTTTTTTGACATTCCATTTTCTTCCTTTTCACAGCATCTAATCAAGCACAGTATACTTGAGGAAAAAAAAATCTATAGTAATGTATTTATAAATAAACCATAAAAGAGACAGTCTATATAATAAATTAGCTTATCTATGGTTATTGGGCCATTTTAAAGAAATAGCATATTCCATTCTAAACTGGGCAGACCCACTGAGACTGTGACAAAATCCCAGTATAGAGAATGGAATGTGGACACAAAAAACCTAATCTTAGCCAAGAAGGTAATTGTGATTCATAGGGGAAATCACCATTCTTAACTGGGTAACACTGGGTAATGTTAACTCTACTACAGGCCAAGAGATATACCTTGGAGAAATTAGGCAAAACCAAATGGACTCCATTGTTTAGTGGCTTTCGTCATTTTCTTTTAATCTCTTTCTTTCTTTCTTTCTTCCTTCCTTCCTCCCTTCCTTCCTTCCTTCCTTTTTTTGTTTGTTTTTTTGTTTGTTTGTTTTTGTTTTTGTTTTTCGAGACAGGGTTTCTCTGTAGTTTTGGAGTCTGTGTTGGAACATTTGTAGACCAGACTGACCTGCCTGCCTGACATTCTCTGCCTCCTGAGTGCTGGGATTAAAGGTGTATGCCACCATCACCAGTCTGTTTTTCTTTTTAAAGAGAGAACAAGATCATGAAGTTGGGTATGTAAGAGGGCAGGATCTGGGAGGAGATGAGAGCTAGGAAGAACACTACAAAAATATAATAAAAAACTGCTTCGAGGATAAGGGTTTTATAGTTGCTGATAATTAAAATGTTCATACAGAGATGTGAAAAGACCTTTAGGTACAAATTTTGTTTAATAATAAAGGACAAAGAGACATCTTAAGTAAAGTTCCTGTGGAACTACAAATATGCTATAATGTCCATAAAATTCAAACACAACAGCAGAGGAAAAGAAAATCTTCAGAACATTTATAAAATAGCAAAAGCAGCTAATTATAGACATTTTAAAAAATAATTCTATATTGCCTCCTTGACTTTCCCTGGGGTTGAACCTTCTGAGTCCATCCTAAAATGGCAATAGCTGTGAACATGAACTTCATTCTCCCAGCATACTGTTCATCCATGCTAAGCAGCATTGTTACCTGCTGCCAAGGATTTCCAGTTATCAACTTGTTAAGAGGTAACTGTGAGTCTTCAAGATGACATCAAATCTTGTTTTATTATCTGAAAGACAATGAAAATGTAGAAAATATGGCATTTTCTACCCGATTCATGCCAGTTTTTCCATTCTTATAAGGTCAAAGAATCCTAAGTCAAATGATCATAAATTTATCTGTAATTCAAGGAACTTTTAGAGTTCAAGAAAAAAAGATTAATTCTCTGGATGCTTGCCAAGTTTTGTAGTCGGCAGCATATATTCTTAACTCTGGCCATATGGAATTAGGACTCATTGCATGGAAAACAACAATGAAAGCAACTTTAACTTCTCATGATTGTTTTTTGTTTTGTTTCTTTTTCTTTGTTTGTTTTGCTTTTGTTTTTGTTTTTGTTTTTTTCTGAGACAGGGTTTCTCTACAGCTTTGGAGCCTGTCCTGGAAAGTAGCTCTTGTAGACCAGGCTGGACTCGAACTCACAGAGATCAACCTGCCTCTGCCTCCTGAGTGCTGGGATAAAAGATGTGTACTTGGCTAACTTCTCATGTTTTACGTTTGCAGTGGCCAATTTTTCATTTGTCCCATTCTCCTCTGTCTATATATTTTTTCATCTTTCTTTATTTTATGACTGGATGTTTTCTTTTGAATAGGCAGTATTAGTTTGCAAGGGCTGCTGTCGTAAGATACTTGTGACTGTAGTTTTAAACAAAAGCTGGTGAGATCTCACAGATTCCGAAACAACACATACAAAATAAAGGATCTAGTTGCACCCTTCTCTTGCAGGCAGTCTTCATTATTTCTTCCTAGTTTCTGATGGTTATCAGTAATATCAAACCCACTTCTAATGTCTGCAGCCAGGGTCCTATTGAGATCTCCCTGCTTATCTCTATGTCCCTGCTTCATCTTCATATAACAATTTCTGTATTAGATCAACTGTAATTCAGTATGACTTCATCTCTGGTGATTTCATCCTCAAAGACTCTATTTATAAATAAGTTCCTATGTGCTAATACTAGATGGAATTTGGAGGATTTGTTTCAACTCACAGAACACTTATAAACTTACTGAGTTTTTCTAATTAACATCCATCTATACTTGATATGGCTCTATCTGTACTATTGTGAAACTATACAGTAGTTTGGCTATATCTAAAATGCATTAAATATTGACCGATGAGTTGTCAGTTAGAAAAGAAGTTCTTTTATTGGTTGGTAGAATTGAAATATAAGGAAAGTGAATCATAAACAGAAATGATACTATGTCTAATAACAATATTAATCAATGTTACTAGATACACACATTTTTTTTTCTGTTTGTGACAAGAACTGATGTCTTTCGAGGATGCTAAAGTGGCCACTGTCGTGAGGATACTTTGAGATAGCCTGTATTCTGCAGGTTCTGTGATTCATTTTCTGTGATGAATATTACATTTACACATGTTCATGAGGCAGACTTTCTCAGATGTTCCATCTGTTGTTGGAGTTGTGCTTTAAGAATAGTAAAAATACATAAATTACAAGGGAAGCTGGCAGGAGATAGAAATATGTGTGGGGCAATAGTGAAAAAAAAATGTTAGAGCCCTTAGTAACTTCTCAACCTTCATTACCTCCCAGGCTGCATATTCTCATTCCAGGCAAGGGGAAACAAAAGATGTGGAATTTGCCATGAAACTAAGAAAATGAGATTGTTAAAGAAAAAATGAAGCTACCTTTGCTCACCAACAGCCATTTATTTTTACTTTTTTGTTGTTGTTGGAAGGACTTTTAGGCAGCAATTAATTCTACTTATTCATTGCACATTTCAGTAATACAAATGCAAAATAAAATGTTGCTTTTTCTTTATTCTAGGGAGTAGGTCAATTATACATGCCCATGATATACCTATGTCAGAGGCTCATAAAATGAAAAGCAAAAATTTCAAGAAGAAAAAAATTGTTGTGTTTCTCTAAACTTGTATTGTTAACCTTTTTCACCTTTAACTAAAAGTTACATTCAAAATTTATACATATGTAATTTAACATAAGTATTGTATAGTATGAGAATATATATTGGATGAAAACAATATTCATTGCAATATAAAATGTATATTAGAAGCTATACATAAACATATTCTTATATATTTCAGAGTACACATAAATTTATTGATAGATAGCTATTCTAAAACAAATACACTCTTGAGTATTAATTGATCCTTAAAAAGTTAATTATGGATATTATTGATTTGAACTTCAAACAGTCTGAATTGTGTAACTAATAGTAAAATGCAGTGAACAATTTGAACAAGCCTTGATCTGTGGATGTATTAGAAAATAGTTTTGAGCTTTAATTTTGGTCATATGCTGGTTTACATCTTCTGTTCACTCAGGTAGAAACCTATTTAGCTCAATGAATGGACGTATCATCATGCTGATAAGGGTTCCATTGATAGAGAGCCTTGCAGTTACTTGGCACTGTTTCCATCTCATTTAAATGGAAATCTCCTATAAAGTAATTTTTTTTTCCTGGGGTGGCTCCATCTTATGAAACAGGAATTGTCAGTATCCATAGCTTTTTGGAATTGATTACTCTCTGGAATTTAATTTTTAAAAAATCAAATTGATAAGGAAGGATTCGTGATTCAGTTGGCCCTTTTTGTCCCACTTGGTCTTTCTATTTGTTAACTAAAAATATTTTATTTTTCAAGCATTCCCGACTTTGCTTTCCTTTGCTATCCTCACCCTACACACCATCACTACTAGACTTCAGTCTGTTGATCCGCTTCCTCCAGGTGAGCAATTTCTTCATCTGCTAGCTTTCTTCTCTGTGGTCCGAATTTTACTTGTTAGATGGTGGCATTCCTGTGACTGTGCCTTTGCCATGCAGAAATATGCATCTTAGTTTTTTAAAGGAAAAATAGTAGTGATTTGCTACTACTTCTACCTCAGCTCTATTGGTATTTCAGGAAGAGTTTTGTGTGTGGAGTCAAAGTGAGAATATCAATAATGTGTGAAATCAGGGTTTCTGTTGCTTTATTATATGTATATGAGTTTAGTGAGCCATTGGCAATGAATTCCTATGTAAAAATCTATCAGTTATACTAATTTTACATTGTGGGCAGTATAGGTTTTGCCAAATGAAAAACTGACGCACTAAAGTAGCCTGTATAGGAAAGAGAGACTTGACTACCACATACCCTGTGGGTGTAGAGAAAAGTACTTCATAGTCAGTCTGAAAAACTGCCAGAGAAACTAGTTCCCTGACTTCTTGTGTCTTTATAGACAACCATTTGCTGATCATCTTAGGTAAGATTTCTGTTATCGGAAACTATTAGAGGCTTTTTATTCACTACTTTAAAAATCTTTGCACATCACTCTAATATGAATTCCTAGAGGCAAGTCAGAATCCAATTCATATGAATTTTAGTAGTTGATGGAGCATGGCATCACAATCATGTGAAGTGGACGCAAGTGATAAATATATTCTGATCTCTGAGTATGTTCTGGACGTGATACAGATAATCTGAACACAGTGAGGTTAGCCATAGCTGGTCCAACTGAGTGGAAGGCAGGAAAGAACATAGGGAGAAGTTTTAGTTCACCATGTTATTGTAAAATCTCAGTACCGAATCATTTGAATGTATTTCAGAGACTTGATTCCCCTTTGAGTACTTTACTGTGTGTATATGAAAAGGCCTAGTCATTGGAGAAGATGGTTATATCGAGCTGTTTGCTGTGCTGAAAAATATATAGAAGTATATTCTGGCAAGGTATAAATCACTGTTATATTTATTTGCCTTGCTTTCCTTATGCCAGAAATAGAGAAAAGGTTGCCTTACTTCCTGTGAGGAAATGAATGGAAATTGGAGCCAAATGTAATGCTTTAAATGGGTAAAATTTAATGTGACTTGTTATTCGTGTCTCTGATTTGGAGATTTTAAATTAAAATTTAAAACTCAGGTTTGTGTCCACACTTACACATACATACAGAGTCTATATAAAATCTTCATCTCTCCCTTAAATAATTTCCCTTAAATAGTTCCCTTAAAAGATTATGATCCATTTTCACCAGTTGAAAAGGAGAGTTTTATTTTTTAATTTACTACAAATTAATTTTAAAGGTAATGTATATGCCAAAATATTCTTAACTTTCAGAATACAAATTTCCCACTTCATTCCCAATGTTTTATGTACATTTTTGGCTTGATCTAACATCAACTTTCTGTTGATGCATATCATGTGTGCATATCATATGTGTTATCAGGCACACAGCCACATATTCAAAGACATAGTGCATTTTGCAAGGCTACCGATGAAACTGAATTTCTATCATTACTGTGAGCTGTGACCAAGTGTCAGAAAACCCAAAGCTGTAGTTAGGCAGAACAAGCTTTACTTCTATGTCCACTGGTAGTGCTATACTTTTGCCTATAGGTAAGTTCTTTTCCATACATTTTCATCTGGAATAGGAATTTTATCATGTTTGCAGAAAGAACACACATGTGCCTTATACTTTGTAGTATTTTTGATGATAATTATATGGCAAAGTTAAAGTTATCTAGTCATTTCAAATATTGCAGTTTATTATTGAAAGTATCCAGATAATCAACAGAGTGAATCTTGCAAAGCTCACTCATTAACATAAATTATATAATAATACCACAGTTTAGAATACAATTACGGAGGTTTACTTAATTTAATCCTTTCCTAACATCTATATGTTTATTTGTATCTATTATTAAAAAGTATCTTATATGACATAATCATTTATCTAATATAATAAAAATAATTAGAATAGAAAACACTTTACAGAAAAAAGTATCTACTATCTTATAAATAAAACATTTATAATTTTAAAATGGCAATTCATATTCAAAGGTTTAAGGATTATGTAGTCAACCAGTCAGGTAAAATAAGTTCTGAAGAAAATTGTATCTGAATAGAATATATACATATTTTCTTATTATAATTAACTATATACATTAGAATCACCATTTACAAAGCATTTACATAGTCTTAGATGTCTGAAGTAACCTAGAGATGATTAAAGTATACAGGTAGATGTATAAGATTTATCATAAATGACCTTATTTTATGTAAAAGACTGAGAAATGAGAAATTTGACTTTCTATAAGGCATGTCAGTCATTCCTATGGATACCAAGCTAGAATTCTACCACTCTTTCTGTTGTATAGGCAATAAGGAAATAAGTCATGTTAAATTTAATAATACATCATTTATTTTTTAGAAGGTATATGCAAATATATTTATTTTCAATAATAAAGTAAGTTTACTCAGTAAACAAAAGAAATGGGCAGGAAGTCTCTGTCTACCAACTACTTCTAGCCTAATATCATTTTCCAGTTTTCAGTAATACTGCAAACACCTAGATTTGTGTCTTTCGTGTTCATATACATTTTTATATACTCAATAAATGAAAACTAAATAATTTATTAGAAAACTACCAAATACAATAGTTAAAATTGTATTCCATTTTGAGGTGAGCCTAGGGATTCCACTATGGACAATTACAGCCTAAAGAATATGCATACCTGAAGCTCATAAAGTAAGGCACGGATGGAATTTAGTTGAGAAGAAACTGCTATTCAAATTTAAGTTATCTCCTTTGAGCAGAAATTTGTGATTCCATCTCTGTGCTCAGGAGTTTTCCATATTCTGACTTTTTGATATTATTTCTAAAATAATTTTTGGCTTTAGTTGAGAGATTGATGCCATTTTTTATGACATTGCAAGAAGATGTGCTTAAGGCTGCAGGCAGTATGCTTGTTATTTCCCAGTCTGCTGCCCTTTGTAATACATTGACTAGATATCTCTCTACTAGAGAATGGAGACAGGGAGGGAGGGAGAGGATTAGCAACGCTAACAAGGAGAGAGTCTTTTCTTGTGCCTAAAGCTTTATGACAGCATGGTATGAGGCACTTTCAACACTGAGTAGTTAAAATGACTTGCCATTTTGGTGAGTACCTGTGAAGGAAAAAATTAATATAAAATAAAAACAGCAACAACCCCACTTACTTGTGATCTGTTTGGGAAGCAAAACAGATCACTCTTTCTTAAGATTGAACATGCAGTTTTAGAGGAGTAAAAATTCAAGTCCTACATGCCTGAATTAATGAAGAACATCCTAATGAATTCTCCCTGTGAGGTCAATATGAATTTGTTTTTTAAAATTAGATTTAGATTACAAGTCTGAAGCTTAAATATGTTCTCATGTCGTTTTGAATTTGTTTTCCTAGTAGTATTGCTCAGGGGAAATATGTTTCCCTTTAATCATTTCTTCTTTGTTCTGGATGTGGTTGATTATCAATTAAATAAGAAGTGCTCTCTTAGATAAGGACGTGTTTAAAACCCCATTGCAGATAATTTCTGATGTGTGGGCTGCATTTCATACGGAATTGTTGGGAACCTTTGGCCCTTGATTAGGTTACACAGCACCGCAGCCTACTGGGCCACAGCTCTTTGCTTTCTGAATTTCCTGACCTATGTTTCTTTGCCTCTTCATCTCTTCACTGTGTTTTAATGATTCCAGAATATTAAATCTGTTACTAGAAAAATGGTGTATCCTTGCCAGTAAAATCCATTACAAGAAGCATTTCAGTATAGTTACTCTAGAACATGGAAATTGAATCTATTGATTTTGCTTAAATTTTCATTCTTGGGATGACCCAACTGTGTATGGTAAAAACATCTGCTTCCAATAAAACTACAGCATACTTACAAATACTAACAACAAATGATTTTAGGAAAATATTCCAAGAGCACAGAAAGGTTTTGTGACTCTCCCCTTCTTTTAGAATTCTTTCAGTATTTTTTGATTTTAGTGGGAGTGGTGATGGCGGTGTCAACTGACCAGTGATAAGTTACTTGCTTTTATGAAGTGAAGTTGAAATTGTTGAGATTCAAACTTCCAATATCTCGCTCTGAATTAAGCTTTAGATACTATCCATTTTAACACTCTCTCAGAAAGATTCTCTTTAAGACAATGATAATGAAAGTATGTATTTCTCATGATCTACATATGTTGTGAGAGTTAACATGTACATGGAAGCATATCCATAGAGCACACTTCATTTTGCTTTTTATCCTTAGTAGAGACGAATTATTATTACAGGAACAGTTTCTGATATATATATATATATATATATATATATATATATATATAAAACACATTTATATATATTGCATGTATAAATACAAAAGCTAAACAGTTTTGAAAATACTGATGTAAGCAGGGCATCTATCTGTTCATTTGGAATTATACACATCTCATTCAGCGGCTGAAACCATACCTGTCTCTGTCTCTTTTACGATGCCATTGAAAAATATTCTAAGCAATTAAAATCCTTCTTAAAAATCCTTCCTCTTCAAGAGCTGTATTCTGTTGAAAGGTGTTGATTGGTTCCTAAGTAACAAGCAGAAGATTAGCTACCTCTGACTTAACTCTTTTTCTAAGGATGCTAAGAGTGACATTGATTCTGTTTACTTGTTTCCAGAAATTGAAAACAAAGACGTGCTAGAAATGAGCTGAACAACAGGATTTAAATTGGTAAATAGATGTACTTCCTCAAAGAAATCAGATAGCAGGCATGAGAGAGAGAGGCACTAATAAGACTCTCTTCCTTGCTGCTTACAGAGTTTGTCTTAATGGGCATGTTTTTATTGACCTTCCTTACAAGATTACCACTTTGCTAGGAAGATGACTTGAATCTTAAATGTATTCATCCATGTCATCAAAAATGGTGCCATTATCAGAGACAGGGTTAGCTTACAG